AGCAACCTCATGCTTCGCTGAGCTCTTGATCGTGTCAACGCCGACGTGCGCAAGCCTCGCGTGCCACCGGTCGGGGGTCGACTTCGTCGCCGAGACGATCGTCCACAGAGCCACCACCTCGGTCGACGGCGACCGCGTCGAGCAGGGGCGAAGGTCGGTGCAGAGGACTCGTCCGGTGTAGCGTGCTCGACCGAGCACTTCCCCGGTCGTGGCGATGAGCAGGATCTCATCACCATCGCCCTGCAGCTGTACTCCACACTCCTTCAGTTGGCCAGCTGACAGCAGGTTCGCCTGTACTCCCGGAACGTAGAGGACGTCTAGGATGAGGACCCGCTTCCCGGTCTCCCATTGCAGAGCGACGGTTCCGCGACCCTCAACAGGCTGCAACGCCCCATTGAATCCACGCACCTGCTTCACACCGTCGCTCGGCGACATGTCGACAAAGACCGCCTTCGTCCCCATCAGGTGGTGGGAGCAACCGCTGTCGAGCAGCACCGCTATCAGGTTTGCCTGCACGGCTGCCGCCACCGCTTGGAAGTCCTCGCCAGCCTCCGGCGCCAGCAAGACCGTCGGCTCCACCACGCCGACCATCGAGCACGACGCCTCCCCGTCGCCTCGGCCCTTGGCGCTGGAGTTGTCGACGTCCTTCGTCGACGACGTCTTCTTCGACATCTGCTTCTCCTTGCGCGACTTCTCATCTCGACGGGGGCGACGACTGGTCGACCGACCGCGGCCTCCCTTGTTGTCGTCCTCGTCGCTATCGTCACAGTCGGGGCACTCGTAGGAGAGATGGTCGGGGTCGTGGCAAATCCAGAACTCCCGCCGTCGACCACCACCTCCACGGCCCTTGCCCCGCGTCGACCTCTTCTCGTCGACGTCCTTCGTCGACCGCCCACCTCTGCTACCACCTCCGCCCGGCTTCCCGCGCTGCCCCTGCTACTGATTTTGCTTCGTCGGTACAGCATAATTTGCCTGCAGAAGGAGCTCCATGGGCTGCTCTGCCTCCTGCAGAGCCTCGTCTTGAATGACGTAGCTGGTGAGGGGGTCCTCGTCGAGGGATTCACGCGTGCCGGGCACCATCCTCATCCTCTTCATGAGGTTGTAGTTGCGCGGCAGGCCCTTGACGACGTGGGTGATGTAGGACGCCGTTGAGTATTTGACGCCCGCCATCCGCATCTCAGCCAGGATCCGTCGAGCGCGGTTGCAGTAGTCTGTCGCCGACTCCTGCTCGCCCATCCGAAGGTGTGTCATCTGCTCCTCCAGCTGTCCGATGTACAGGTCGTCCTTTGCCTAGTACGTCGACAGGATGAAGTGCCATGCTTGGTGACCAGCATCCAGTCGCTCTCGACAGGACCTGAGCGCTAGCTGCACCACCGGCGAGCAGCACTTCGAGATGATCATGAAGGTGAGCAGGTGAGCAGCACAAAACTCCCCGCGCAGCTCGACATCGTCCTCGGGCGGAATTGGCACGGTGCCGTCGGCAAAGCCCTTCAGCCCGGCGACCTCCAGCTGAGGTTCTATCGACTCCCTCCAGGTGATGAGGTCCCGTTGACCTTGCAGCGATGTGACGGTGATCCTGTCTGGAGAAAACTTGAAGTAGCCATATGCCGGTGCGACCCCGCCCGCTGTCACGTGCGTCGTCGCCGAGAGCCTTCCACCGCTTTGTAGAGGAGAGCTACGTCGACCATCGACTTCGACCCGCGTGCTACCCGCAACTGCCGTCGACCGCTGCACTCGCACCTGACTTCCGTCGACGCCACCGTCGACCTTAGTCACCCCTCTCTTCTTCGTGCCATCGCTGCCGCTGACTCGTGCACCGCCGTCGACCTCGTCGTCGACACCACCTTCGTTTCGTACAGGTCGAGGAGATGCAGGACGGGAAGGGTGCTCCGTCGCCCACTCCGCTCGGATGCCAAACTCGACGATCGCCAAGGGGACCTTCCCGTACTCGCCATTCTCAATGCGTTTCCGCGCATTAGCCAAACGTGCCTCCAAGGTGTCTGCTACGCCCGCTTCTACAACGGGGTCGACCATGGCGACAAACGCGGCTGCCGGCCTACGAACGACTTAGTAGGTGCAAAAGTCGGCTCCTATCCGAATGTAATATGCGGGGCCGTCCACGCTCACCACACCATGCGGAGAGTCACTCTTCAAGGTAGTCAGCTAGACTACGGGGGGGGGGTTTGGCACGAACTACTAGGAGTAATCGTAGCTTTGCTTAGTTCCTTAGCGCTTGCACATTCACGGGAGAAATCGGCAAGAGTTTCACTAGGCAAAGATTTCATTCCAGAATGATAGAACAAGAAATGACAACAATGACTACATCAGGCACCTAGCAACTCTGCAGCTATCTTGGTCGACCGCCAGCACAGCATGGTCGACCGCCTGCCAGCGTTGCGTAGAGGAGTCGTGCCTGCACTGCAGAAAGGCAACTTGCCAACACAGCAGGTCGACGTTGTGCCAATGCTGCAGCAGAGCGGCTGTCCAGCGTTGCACCCGTAGATGGCAGCAGAGCGCACGTACGCAGGTGTGCGTAGACGATTGGCCTGACTTGTATCGTTGTGCATCCGTCGGCTGTTGTCTGCGCCTGACGAGCCACATCGACTTCGGGATACCAGCGCAAAGTCGCCTTCGTCACCGCGACCTCGACGACGTTCGCGTGCCTTAGCAGAACTCGCCGAGCAGGTTACCTTGTCGACCTGGTCGACCACCAAGTGCTCTGGTCGATGCCACAAGTGCTCTGGTCGACCACCAAGTGCTCTCTCTGGTCGACCACCAGGTGCTTTGGTCGATCACCAAGTGCTCTAGTCGACCACCAAGTGCTCTGGTCAACCACCAGGTGCTCTGGCCGACCACCAGGTGCTCTGGTCGACCACCAAGTGCTCTGGTCGACCACCAAGTGCTCTGGTCGACCAAGGACTACAGAGGCTGGTGCAGGACTAGTGGTAGCTGCAGCTCCTTCACAAAGACCCTCAGAGGTGCCTGGACTGGAAACAACACACTCACCAAGACTGGAAACACAGGTCTCTACTCGTGCAGCCGGGAACGGTCCTAGACCAGGCAGGTGGGACTCAACTGGTGCAGCAGTGCGCTGGCGAAGACGCGAGGGCCAGTGCGGTGTAATAGCGTGAGAACCAAAACGCTAACGGTGGAGGTCGTCGAGTCGACGGTAGCAGCTGGACGCAGAGTGGTCAGGACTCCAGCAGGTGGTGCCAGCACTAGGGCCTGTCAGGGCCCGGTACCCGTAGGGGCCGACGTCTCGCCCACTGCTAGCTGAGCCACTGCTGGGGCCTCCACGCTGTGGACCCGCAGGTCCCCACTGCCAGGAGTGCTGCGGCTGGCCCTGCTGCTGTAGAACTCTGGTACACGCCATGTGGGCCTAAGCTGCTGCTGGTTCTGCTGGGGGCAGCCTAAGCTGCTGCTGGTGCGCTGGCGGCAGCCTAAAGTGCTACTGGTGCATTGGGGGCAGCCTATGCTGCTGCTGGTTCTGCTTGGGGCAGCCTAAGCTGCTGCTGGTGCGCTGGCGGCAGCCTAAAGTGCTACTGGTTTGCTGGGGGCAGCCTATGCTGCTGCTGGTTCTGCTGGGGGCAGCCTAAGCTGCTGCTGGTGCGCTGGGGGGCAGCCTGTGCTGCTTCTGGTTCTGCTGGGGGGCAGCCTCGGCTGCTACTGGTTCTCCAGGGGGGCAGCCAATGCTGCTCCTGGTGCGCTGGCGGTAGCCTAAGCTGCTGCTGGTGCGCTGGGGGCAGCCTACGCTGCTGCTGGTGCGATGGGGGCAGCCTATGCTGCTGCTGGTGCTGCTGGCGGTAGCCTAAGCTGCTGCCGGTTCGCTGGGGGCAGCCTATGCTGCTTCTGGCTCTGCTGGGGGCAGCCTATGCTGCTGCTGGTGCTGGTGTAATCGGTTGGGGCTACTGGCGGCGGGTGTGGCAGCTCGTGAGGAGGCGGGTTTCAGGTGGGGAAGCTGTTAAGGCAGCGGGCTACGGGTGGGGAAGGTGAGGCGGCGGTTCTGTGCGGTTCTGTGCGGTTATGTGCAGTTCTGTGCGGTTCTGTGCGGTTCAACGCGGTGGAGAGTACTGGGTGGGGCGGCTGAATCCGGGTGAGGTGCCTGGAACGGGTGGGGCGGCGGTTGTCAGGTCTGGGGTGGCTGTTTTCAGGTCTGGGGTGGCGGGTTTCCAGGTTCGGCGGCGGATTTCAGGTCTGTAATGGCGGGTTTTCAGGTATGGGGGCGGTTAAGACGGTGGGCTGCACGTGCACGCGGCTGCTGCTGCACGTGCGTGCGGTCGCGACGTACTAGCGCGGAGCTGTGGGTGCGACTAAGGCTGCGCGCGCAGCTACGCGCGTTCGTCTGCTGCGCGCTAGAGGGCTGGGGGGCAACGCGCGGGGTAAAACGAGTGGGGCGCGGGGCAGAAAACCGAGTGACGCACGACAACAACGGGTGGGGCGCGGGGCAGAAAACCGAGTGACGCACGGCAAAAACGGGTGGGGCGCAGGGCAGAAACGGGTGACGCGCGATGGCGACGGGGGGCGCGGCCTACTCGGGCCCTACGGGGCAGGGCGCTTCGGGCTACGGGTCGCTACGAGGCGCGCGGGTGGTGGGCCCATAGACTATCGAGAGAAATTTCGCCTAGGGGAAAAAGTCGCCTAGGGGAAAAATCGCCTAGGGGAAACCTAGCTCTATACCATGTTACGATATGAATGAATTGATAGAAAATGTGAAGTACAACCCTAGATTTAGCAAACCCTAATCATGCAAGTAAGTAGAAATGTAACACCTAGACTAACCTAAACAACACATATAAAATATATGTTGACACGTACATCCGACCAAGTCGTCGGCGTTGCCCAAGCGAGGGCGGGGCCAACACTCCATTCCCATTAACACGGGTGGCAAAAGCAGCAGACGGGTGGCAAAAGCAGCAGACGGGGTAGGAGGAGCAGCAGCACCAGCGAAAGGGACGTGGGAGGAGTGGGAGGCGCGGCGTGTGTCAGGCATAGCACGGGTGATGCAGCAGACGCAGCAGAGAGCGAGTGCAGGCGATGCGTTGATCCTGTGGTCAGAGGCTACTATAATTCTGCTGTACGACCATGAGGAGGACAAGCTCCTGGCTGACCTCTCTGCCATCGCCACCACTGCCAGGGCCAACCGCACTGCCGCTGCTGCTAGGGACGCTGCAGCTCCACCAATTCTTGGGCCATACCTGGGTGTTTCATACGTAAAGGTGCGGGTTTGATCTCCATAACAGCATGGGTTCAGAGGTGTATGTGTGCTGGATTGATAGCTTTGACAGCTTGGGAGCTTCAGAGAAAGGCATCGGTGTGGTCAGACTCAGACCCAGACTCTTGGACGCGGACTCGGGCTCGGACTCGGACTCGGACTCGGACTCGGACTCGGAGTTTATGTCCGTTGCTCTGTTGCTCGCAGAACGCTCATGAAGAGCTGAAGCTCTTTGCTTACCTCCCATCTGCCACCTTCCACCGTGAAATACACCTTCTTTTGCCCCTTCCACCTGTGCCCTTCCCTCCCCCTCTCCCCCCTCCTCCCTGTCTGCCTCCCTCACCCACAACCTTTCCCCGCATCGCAGCTCATCACCTTCGTCCCTGAGATCTTCATCAACACGTTCGTCCTCATCGACCCCAGCGGCGCCCCCATCCTGCGCTACAACAAGTCGCACCTCTTTCCCTCTGTGGAGGCGGACGTCCTGCCAGGCTCCGGTTACCTGCCCGTGGTGGACACAGAACTAGGGAGAATGTCCGTGGCTGTCTGCCTTGACATGCAGTTCCCTGCGCTCATCCGCCAGGCCGGCAGACAGGGGTACGTGCATGTGTGTGTGCAAAGCCCTGCCTTGTCTTCTTGTTGCATGTGGTGAATTTGTGAGTGGTGATTCCGGTCTGAGCCTGCCTTTTCAAAGTGGCATCACCACCTCCCCATGGCCATGGGGGAGCATAGACCCATGACGTAAAGGAGTGCCAGCGGCCAATGCAGGCAGTTCCATGCTAACCCATCCCCACTTTTCTCCTATCCCTATAACCACCATGGCCCACCGCCTCCCTCAGAGTGGACATTCTGCTGGAACCCAGCTGGTCATGGGGCGCCACAGGCCACTTGCTTTCTGATGGAGACACAGTGAGGGCGGCAGAGAATGGGCTCACTCTTCTGCGCTGTTGCTCCGTTGGGGTGTCAGGGATTGTCTCTCCTCACTATCGCACCCTTGCAGCACGGTGCGTGATCCTCCTGCAATGACTGTGTTTCTTGCTGCTGGAAGATTATGTCTCCAAATGAGCCACCGCAAACCTCCTCACCCATTCACCCATTCGTATGCCCGATCATTAGTTTCCGCACACATACAACCATTTCTGTTTATTCATTTCCGCACACATACAACCATTTGCCCCACCATCCCATATTCACTCTGCTTCTTGTGTATGCCCCAATCACCCACTGTTCTTCAGGGAAGGGCTATCTTCTGGGACGCTCTCAATGAACATGCCCCGCCTGCCCCATGCCCCAGCGCTCTACCCCTTCATTGGCCTACCCATATCCCTCCTCCTCTCCCTCACCCTCCTTGCATCATTTCTTGCCGTTTGGCCCACCGTTTTGAAATTCCTTTTTGTCACCCCACCCTGCTCGTTGCTGCCTCACCCTCTCTGCTTGGCTGGGCAGCAGGGGGAGGGGAAAAGGGAGAAGGGTCAGAGCAGTGGAGAGGGTTTAGAGCGTATTCCTATCCTCGTATCAAGAGAACCTCATATCAACCTCCCACTGAAAATTCCCCTAAACCCAAAACCTCTCGCTAGTTTTACCAGGCAAAAAGTACAATCTTGATATGAGGTTCTCTTGATACGAGGATAGGAATACGCTCTTAGATTGTTATACACGATGAGACGGGGGATGGATGCACTAGTGTGAAGTTGAAGAAGAAGCTACTTACAAACGATTATTATTATTATGATTATTTTGTTTGTGGTGCTTCAATATAAGACAGTACTATCTCATAGCCACGTAAGTAAGGAAAGGGTATAGAAAACCCATTATTGTATCAATGAGCACACTCATGTGCTTCTTTGTTGGATTTTCCGATATGGAATGACAACCATGTTGACTCGCACTCGGACTTGGGCTCGCACTCGAGTCCGTGTCCATTACTCGGCTACTCTGAGCACATTCATGAAGAGCCCAACCTCCTTGCGTTACTTTGCTGCTATAGCCATAAAGTGGTGGTGTGGTGCTTTTTGTTTTTCCCTGCTACTTCTTTCCGCTTTGAGAGTGTGTGTGTGTGCGCGCGCGTGCGTGCATGTGCGTGCTCTTAAGAACCTGGTTACTTAAGTAGCGAGAGAATGGTGAGACTAGGTCAAAGGAGGAGATACAACCAAAGTGTCGAGAAAGTTTCGTATCCCCTAACATGCAACTCACTAGAGCATATATATATCTACAAACATAGTTTGACACACCCCCATAGGCTAAGTGAGGGGCATCAAAACAAGCATGACATGCATGCGGTCACAAGACCAGTCAAGAAAAGAAACACAGCAAGCTCAGGGTGGATCACGAGGTCACCACGAGCACGCGGGAAGGGCACGGTGCAGGGCAGCGTGCGGGCGGCAGCTGCAGCAGCAGCACGAGTGCGCAGCAGGGCAGGCACGGGCAGCGCTAGCAGGGCACGCTGCAGGGCAGCGTGCGGGTGGGAACTGCAGCAGCAGCACGAGCTTGCGGGCAGGGTAGGCGCGGGCAGCGCTAGCAGGGCAGGACAGGGGCGCTCGGGCGCGGGGCAGCAGGGCACGCACGGGCACGGGGCAGCGGGGCACGCGCTGGCGCTGGGCAGCAGGGCGCGCGCGGGCACAGGGCAGCCGGGCGCGAATAAGCGCTGGGCAGCGGGGCACGGGCTGGCGCTGGGCAGCAGGGCTCGCACTGGCGCTGGGCAGCAAGGCACGCGCGGGCACGAGGCAGCGGGGCACGCTCTGGTGCTGGGCAGCGGGGCGCGCCTAAGCGCTGGTCAGCGGGGCACGCGCGGGCTCTGGGCAGCGGGGCGCGCCTAAGCGCAGGGCAGCGGGGCACTCGCGGGCTCTGGGCAGCGGGGCGCGCGCGGGCTGTAAGGCAGCGCGTAAGGCAGCGCGCGGGGCAACGGGATCGTGGGGCAGCAGGGCACTCGCGGGGCAGCGCAATCGTGTAGGGCAGAGAAATTTTTAACGGTGGGCCCGGAAAAACGTTCTAACAGTCCTAAGGACCTATTTCTTTGAAACCATGTTAGGATCTAAGGCATGAATGATGGACTAGGTCAATGGAGGGGTACAAGAGAAGTGTCGAGATAAGTGTTGTACCCCCTAAGGGGCAACTCACTACAGGCTAAACTAAGGAATATGAAATATAACTTTGACAACCACACATTCTGAGCACAAACAAGAGGCCACTGTTAACGGGAATGTAGTGTTGGCCCCGCCCTCGCTTGGGCGACGCTGACGTCCTGGTCGGATGTATGGGAGAAGCAGCCGACCGCACACAGTGAGAGAGCTGCTCGACGGGCTTCGTCGAGCTGCAGGGGATCACTGTGGTGTTGCCATCGACCAGGGGTGCTCGACGGCCTTCTACTGCGGGGCAGGTCGATGGGGTGGTCGTCGACCTGCACAGGACTGTCGCGGGGCTGGGGCCGTCGACCAGGGGAGTTCGACGGCTACAGCTGACCAAGCTGGTTGACGGGCAGGCCGTCGACCAGGAGGAGCAGTTCGACGGGGAGGTCGACGGAGCAGTCCGTCGACCTACGTAGGACATGTGAGTAGCAGTCGACGAGGGGAGCTCGGCGTCAACAGCTGCAGTGCTGGTCGACGGAGGGGCCCGTTGACCAGGGTGTTCCTCGACGGGAGCTGTGGTCGACGAGTGAGGCGTCGACCAGAGCACTGGGTGGTCGACCAGGTCGACCAGGTAACCTGCTCGGCGAGTTCTGCGGAGGCACGCGAACGTCGTCGAGGTCGCGATGGCAAAGGCGACTTCGGGCGGGTATCACTAGTCGATGTGGCTCGTCAGGCACAGACCATAGCCGACAGATGCACAACGGTGCAAGTCGGGCCAGTCGTCTGCGCGCACCTGCGAGCATGCGCACTGCTGCCATCTACGGGTGCAACGCTGGACAGCCGCTCTGCTGCAGCGTTGGCACGCCGTCGACCTGCTTTGTTAGTAGGCCTCGTTTCGCGGCTCCTCTACGCAACGCTGGCAGGCGGTCGACAAAGCTGTGCTAGCGGTCGCCCAGGCTAGTTGCAGAGTTGCTAGGTTTCTGCAGAGTAAGCTCGACCGGGTGCTGTACATGTACCAGCCGGACTACTTCGACGATGGGACCGGCCGGGTGTGCAAGCTGCTGAAGAGCCTCTACGGGCTGAAGCAGTCGCCGCTGCTATGGTATAGGGCTCTCGACGGCGTACTGCTGGTCGCTAGCTGGAAGAAGAGCCAAGTCGACACGGCGCTCTACTTCAAGGTCGGCGACGACAGAGTGACCTGCTAGGTACTGGTCTACATCGACGACCTGCTCGCCGCCAGCAGCAGCACCGCGATGCTGAAGGAGCTAAAGGAGCTGCTGGAGGCCGCCTTCGAGCTGCGCGAGATCTCGCCGGTCGTGAAGTACCTCGGGCTGGAGATCGTGCGCGATAGGCCAGCGAGGAAGCCGTGGCTGCACCAGCAGAATTACGCCGACAAGCTGCGCAGGCGCTTCATCGACGAGGAGCGGACCGGGCGCATTCCGAAGACGCCGGTCTCGGTCGACGCCTAGGCCGAGCTGACATTCGACGACGAGGAGGCGCAGGAGCGCGAGGAGGAGGAGTACCGGCAGAAGGTTGGCTCGCTGCAGTTCGCGGCGACAACGACGAGGCCGGACATCGCCTTCGCCTGCAGCAAGCCGGGGAGCGGCCTCACGGTGAGGAGCGACCAGCACTGGCACGAGGTCGACCGCTGCCTCGCCTACCTTGCCGGCACCCGTTAAGTCCGCCCTGGAGTTCGGCGATGGACCAGAGTCGCTGGAGCTGATCGGCTACGTGGATGCCGACGACGCGAGCGACAAGCAGAACCGGACGAGCACGGTCGGCTACGTGTTCGTCTACGGAGGGGCAGCTATCTCCTGGTCGAGCTCACGCATCAAGTGCGTGACACTGTCGTCGACCGAGTCGGAGTACGTGGCGGCCACGGATGCAGGCAAGGAGGGACGCCGACTCCGCTTCCTTCTTGCGGAATTCCAACAGCTCGACGCTGGGAAGCCGACTATTCTATGGGTGGACAACAAGTCGGCTATCACGGTCGCTGAGGGCTTGGGGCTGACGGGCAACCTCAAGCACATGGAGCGACGCTACGCCTGGCTGCAGCACATGGTGAGGAGCGGGAAGTTCGTGGTGAAATACATCCCGACCACCGAGCGGCCGGCCGACTTCTTGACGAAGGCGCTGCACTTTCCGGCCTTCAACCGGTGCTCCGTCGCAATCGGCCAAGTGTGCCTGGCCAACGTCGGCGACGGGGACGACGAGGTGCAGCAGTAGGTGCCGTGCCCTTCTGCACGACTGGTGTGGTGACGGCGTGCTGTGTGTGGGGTGCACGCTGAGGACGAGTTTTCTCCATGGAGTGCTGCCGTGTGGGCTGGGGGCCCAAGCGTGAACGCGGAAGGGGAGTGTTAATGGGAATGGAGTGTTGGCCCCGCCCTCGCTTGAGCGACGCCGGCGTCTTGGTCGGATGTACGGGAGAAGCAGCCGACCGCATGCAGTGAGAGAGCTGCTCGACGGGCTTCGTCGAGCTGCAGGGGATCACTGTGGTGTTGCCATCGACCAGGAGTGCTCGACGGCCTTCTACTTCGGGGCAGGTCGATGGGGTGGTCGTCGACCTGCATAGGACTGTCGCGGGGCTGGGGCCGTCGACCAGGGGAGTTCAACGGTTGCAGCTGACCAAGCTGGTTGACGTGCAGGCCGTCGACCAGGAGGAGCAGTTCGACGGGGAGGTCGACGGAGCAGTCCGTCGACCTACGTAGGACATGTGAGTAGCAATCGACGAGGGGAGCTCGGCGTCAACAGCTGCAGTGCTGGTCGACGGAGGGGCCCGTTGACCAGGGTGTTCCTCGACGGGAGCTGTGGTCGACGAGTGAGGCGTCGACCAGAGCACTGCGTGGTCGACCAGGTCGACCAGGTAACCTGCTCGGCGAGTTCTGCGGAGGCACGCGAACGTCGTCGAGGTCGCGATGGCAAAGGCGACTTCGAGCGGGTATCACTAGTCGATGTGGCTCG